TTAAACAACTATTTAAACTACAAACAGTGTTTTTGTCATCAGTGTGTATAAACTCTAGGGCCCTTCCTCTCTCATTTGGCTGCCTGGCTTGACTGCTGCTGCACATTCTGTTTGGGGGTTTGTCCCCAAACACTAACACAGTGACTTTGTTCAGCTCATTTATTTAGGGATTTAGAATCTGCCGCCGGCTGGGTGTGCGGCAGCTTATATGGATCTGGCACTGGGCGCCGCGGCCAATGACAGCCGTTCGAATCGCCCACGATCGGCTCGGCCAATCGCGGTCGATTCCGAACGGCCAATCAGTGCCGCGCGCTTGACCAATCCGGTTGCTGCGCGCTCGTCCAATCAGGGCTGCAGGATTTCGAGAATGTTAATGTCCATACAGAACAGTGCACATCATGACCATAAAAATAAACACAAACACACATCCATCACAGTCCACACAATGAACTGAAACCCCACGACACTGCACCAAAACTGCACTACACAGGAAAATTCAACAGAACTACTGCCCTGGGATAGAAGCTGTTCTTAAGCCTATGAAAATGATAGACAAAAAGACAAATTTTGCTTAAATTGCAATTGGAAGTATAAAATTATATAAAATCAAGAATGAGGGGAAAAGGTGTCTCACAGGAATGAGATTTTCTTCTTACCCTGTCAATCATTTCCAGTACTGAACAATCCTTTTCTGTCTCCAAGCCTGTTTTTGATATCCTTCTCCAAGGCCAAAATAATGGAGGCAGTTCTTACTTCTGGGGGCAGAATGTGCCGAAAACTGGGGCCACAGAAGAAAAGGTTCTTCTCCATGAACCTTTTAACTGAAATTCCTTGGCTGACTGGAGAGAGTGGGGCAAGGTAGTCCCATTGGGAGAAGATCGCTCCACAGAGTCATTTTATCTATGAGAACTGCAGTGAGTGTGTTATATACTCAAAAATGGAAAGACTCGAAACTACCCACATAGAGGAACATTCTGGAAAGGAGGAAGGAATTTGGGCAGATGCCTAAACCAGCTTTTTTATCAGAAAGAAAAACTATTTTCAGGTTGAATGGAAATCATATGAAATTTGTTTAAAATACAAAAAATAAAATTCTCATGATTTGTGGTTTTGATGGTTAGAAAAAATAGAATAATAGAAAAAATGAGCTTTTTTGGCAACCATAAAGTAAAAGTTAAAAAAGTAATGTATCTGGAATTGGGAGTTTATTTTTCCCATTTCTTCTCATTTTGTCTTTCTGAATTTTAATTTTCTTTACATTTTCTTTACATTCTCCTCTCCTCTCCTCTCCTCACTTCACCTCACCTCACCTTACCTTCCTCATTCTTTATTAGTCTGTCTTAGTTTCTACTATTTCTATAACTCTTCTAATAAACCATACACATACTATATGTTTCTGTGTGTCTGTTTTAAATATAAATCCTCATCATAAATGCATACCTGAGTTGACTGTACTTGAACCTGACTTTGTGGAAGAGTACAAAGGACTTTGTGGAAGAGTATATAAAGATTTTGTTTAGTATAACAAAGACTATAGAGATATTATGTATGTTAGTGCATGTACAGATGTATTGTGTAAGTTAGTTCATGTTCATCATTTGTTAGCTTGAATCGATTCTGAAAAGTTGTGAACATTTTCAAGTCTTTGCTTTAATTGTTCTAACTAAAGGATTCCTTCAGTTGTCTTAAGACTGGAAACTATAAGATAAATGCATGGCGGAGCTCTTTTATCTCAACTAATATGTAAATCAAGACATAATTTCCCCTTTAAAGAAGTCAGTTGGTCGAACTTTTAAGGCTACACCCACCAGCACAAATTTTCCCCAATCTTCTCCTATCAGTTCCTCTCCATTCATTAGAGAAAGCGAAAATGGCCCCATGGCTGAAGTTGGTGTTCTTACTGGCATCCCTTCAAGGTAATTGTTTCCCGCTATATAGAATTTTCTTCCATTTGCTTTTCTTGTATTACTGAAACACTTTTCTTTTTAGGAGTCCAATCTCAAGTACAGTTGGTGGAGTCTGGAGGGGATGTTAGAAGACCTGGGGAGTTTCTCCGTCTCTCCTGCCAAGCCTCTGGATTCACTTTCAGCAACTATGGCATGCACTGGGTGAGACAGGCTCCTTGGAAAGGTCTGGAATGGGTGGCATATATTTGGTCTTCAAATCTTTACTACTCTGACAAAGTGAAGGGACGCTTCACCATCTCGAGGGACGATGCCAAAAGCCAGCTTTATCTGCAAATGAACAGCCTCAAACCAGATGACACAGCTGTCTATTACTGTGCGAGAGACACAGTGAGAGGAAGTGAATCTGAATCCAGTCAATAACTTTCTCTATCTCTGAGCAGCTCTTAAATTAAGAAAAAGCATGCAGATGAAGGCACATATTTTTAAAGAAGCATATGATTTTCAAAGTTGTCAGTTTGGAATGTAGATATTAAATAAATCCTGGTGGGTGGTTATCAACTTTTATTTTGAGATTGGAAGAAATAAAGGAATAAATCCTTGCTTTAATTCCTCTGTTTTAAATCCTCTTATGTCCTATTTAACTATTAGAATAAGAATGAGAATTAATTGTTGTTCATCACCACAAGATGTGGGCACAGTACATTGTTATAGAAAAGAGAAACTCTCCTTAAAATCCTCCATGTGTTCTCAACTTCTCTCCCTCTCCTTGAACATAAGAATCTCCTGGGGAATATGATGGCACCCTTTCTTCCTCATTACTTACACTAGGGTGTAGCAATATTACTTTCAATAATATTGTCCATGTTGGAAGAGGTGGGCTGTGCACAAATGTGGCCTCATCTGGAGGGTTGTTTATATCTTCTGCTATTTGCTTAAAAGTTCCCTCAACGGATCTCAAATAAATTCAACTTCTCAAGAGATCATAATCCTCACTGGGAAGTGTTTCTGGGTTTAGCACAAATTATATAGAACAGTGGTTCTCAAGTCCCCCTTCCCCATAGAATAAACAATACCTTTAAGTACTTTCTGTGCCCATGGATCATGACCATGGACCAAAAAGACCTAAGATTTAAACCATAGCATTTCTTCAAGCCTTCACTGACCCTTTGTGACAACATTATGCCTCCCCGCATAGGTCCATGAACTATAACTTCAGAACCACTAATGTAAAACAAAGATTATCTTTTGAACAATACAAAAAGTTATTTATTATGCTCTTTAAGCTCACAGAGTCTTTTTGTTCACAATGTGACTGGAGTTTGACTTTGTGACTTGGCAATTATGGTTCACAGTTCCTATATTATATACTATCTTGATAAATGGAAGCAATGCTTACCATCTCTCAAGACCAATTTTATTTGTAAAGGAACAACTTTAAAACAGAGGGCATGGCTTATTATTTAACTTTATTTGAAGATCATATGTGTAAACTGGTTGCAAAGAAACCTATGAGTGCCCTGAGGGGCTCTTTTTATCCCAAGCAATATGTAAATTGAGGAACAACTTCGTCTTTAAAGCTCAGGGTTTCCCTTTTCATGCAAAACCCACAAACACAAAGTTTGTACGTTTTCCAGTATCCTCTCCTATCCATTACCCTCCATTCATTAGAGGGAGAAACAATGTTCCTGTGGTTAAATTTGGTGTTCTTTCTATTAATGCCTAGAGGTAATTATTTCTTAACTATTAGAATTTTTTTCCTTTTAATTGTTGCATGCATTAAACTGAAAGTTCTTTCATTTTAGGTGTCCAATCTGAAGTCCAGTTGGTGTAGTCTGGAGTGATGTGAGAAGACCAGGGGAGAGCCTTTGTCTCTCCTGTCAAGGTTCTGGATTCACCTTCAGTGGTGCGTACATGCACTGGGTGAGACAGTCTCCAGGAAAAGGACTGGAATGGGTGGCATTCATAGACACTTCTTCAAATACTTACTGCTCAGACAAAGTGAAGGGACACTTCTCCATCTCAGGGACAATGCCAAAAGCCAGCTTTATCTGCAAATGAATAGCCTCAAACCTGAAGACACGTCAGTCTATTACTGTGCTGGACAAACAGTGAGAGAAAATGAATCTGAAACTTGTATAAAAACCTACCATTCTCAGAACAGCTCTGCAAGTCAGTTTAGTGCCAAAAGGCTGTATTTTTCAATGAGAGGAACCTTAGAAAAATGCCAGATTTTCAGAAGGAAGGAGCTGATCTTTGTATCACCTCTGTGCAGCCTGTTTTCCAACTGAAGGGAAAAAGCCAGAAAATTTGAGTGAAAAAAATAAGTGGAATAGTTAGAAAGAGATAAATAGATAGAGAAAGACACACACAGAGAGAGACAGAGACAGAGACAGAGACAGACAGAGATGCAGAGACACAGAGAGAAAAGAAAAATCCTAAAAGAAATGGCAAACACTCTCAAGAAATCTTTAGGGAAACAAATTTGTATTTCTTAGTTAGACATCTTTATTCTTTTATTGGATGTATAGATCAGACCTCAGATGTGATGCCGTCTACCTTTGTGCCCATATATCTGTATCTGTGTCTATCTCTCTTTTTCTCTCTCTCTTTTTCCACACATACATATACCTGGGGGGAAGCGAGAGAGAGGAAGTGGGCAAAAGGAACATATTTAAAAATGTAAATATGTTTATAATAATACCTTCCACTGTCAGTAGAATGGTAGCTATGGAATAAAAAAGGATGCTTTAAAACTCCTGATAATTTAAGCAGTGTGAAACCAAGGAAGGGGGCAGAAGCTGCAATATAAGGCTCCTGTCCTTTCACCATGCCTCCTCTCCCTTCCTCTCCTCACTTCTCCCCTCCTCTCTCCTCAACCCTCCTCTCTCTGCCCTACCCTCCTCTTCCTTTCCCTGCCCTTCCCTTCCTTCCCATTCCATTTCCTAATAACTCATTTATAATTGATCATCTTTTAGTGAAAACTTTCTGACTCTTTTGTTCTAGGTCGATTCAGAGAGTTTACTAGAAGAAAATGTGAAATAATGAAAATGGTTTGAATATTCCAATTTCATCTTCCCCGTTTACAAAGTGAGCTGGCTTCATAGAAAACAACAACTAGTACTACTACTACATGGAATGAATTGTAAACTTTTAATACTGTTCCGGACTAGCAGGCTCGTAGCCTGCAAATCTGATTGGCCCGCTGACAACCGATCATGATTGGTCGCCATAGACTGATGCGATTGGCCAGTAAACGGGCTGCTGCGATTGGCCCTGCCAAGAGCGGCAAACTCAAATCGCCTTCATTGGCTGCCTAGCTGCAGCCAGCCCTATATAAGGGGCTGCTGTGGCTGGGATTAGTTGCTCAGATCTGAAGTCACAAATAAAGAGCTTTAGTTACTGTCTGAGTCTTGCCTCCATTCTTGAACCATCCTCCCAGATATAACACTGGTGATGAGGATGGGATGCGGAGGCAATGAAAGCTATTGAAATTGAGCTAGCCGAAGGAGCATGTGGCTGACAGAGCGCAACGAAGGCGACATGGCCAGCAGCGCTATACCACCCGCACCATTTGATCCAGCTAGCGAAGATTGGGACTCATACATGGACAGATTTCAAATGTTCCTGGAGTCCAACAACCTCAAAGATGCCACGCCCAGCAAGAAACAAGCCGTTTTTCTAACCCATTGTGGACCAGCCATTTTTAAAATGGCTAAAGCCTTAGCCAAGCCAGCTGAAGTTAAAACCATGAATTGGGACACCCTTGCTCCCATCCTGCGCAACCATTACGCCCCAGCCCTGCCAACTCTCATTCGCAGGCATGAGATCTACCAGAGGGACCAATGTGAAGGTGAGAGCGTTGGGGATTTTGTGGCAGACCTGAGGAACTTGGGTGGTTTGTGTGGCTTTGCCAACCTCGAAGAAGCCATGAGAGATCGCATCGTCCTTGGCCTCAGAGACCCCACCGTCTAGAGCAAGATCATGGCCAAGGGCGATATCTCGCTTGCAGATGCCATAGCAGACGCCACAGCAGCCGAAGCCACTCGTAAATCGGCAGCGCGAATGCATCGAACCAGCGGGACCAACCGCCAACCCACCAACGATGCTGGGAAACCTTCAGACAAGTACACATCAACCACCCATCACGAAGACATCAAGTCATCCTCAGACAGCGAGGAAGAAGAAGTCCACAGGCTCCGGTCAGAACATGAGCAACAGGACCAGCGGGGTCGCAAGTCAAACTACCAATGCGCCAGATGAGGGGGAAACCACCCCCAATCCGAATGCAGATTCTTAGATGTCATATGCTGTTTTTGCAAGAAATGGGGACACATCACGAAGGTATGCAGAAACAAGAGAAATTCCAGCCCCAGACAGAGAGGGAGCAGCCCAAAGAGAAACGATGGCAACACCACCACGCAGAGGGACCACTGTGGCAACCAGTGGAACCGGTACAGCAGACCCTGAAGCTTTAACGACGCCCCCAGACGAGAGGAGGCTCATCAAACCATCACCATCGGCCACGCTTCATCACTTGACGCTAAAAAGATCTGAGTAGAGGTCACAAATGAAAACAAACCGTGCAACATGGAAGTCGACTCTGGGTCATCTCTATCCATGATATCATGGAGAACACTCAAGCAGCTAATCCCCAACATCTGACGCCAAGACCTCAGCAGTCAGAGACTCATACTAAAAGACCATCAAGGCAACAGGATTCCAGTCGCAGGTACCCACCATGTGCAGGTCTCGTTCAAGGGACATAAGGCAATCCTATCACTCACCGTCGTAGACCGACACTGGCCAAGTCTATTGGGTCTTCAGTGGTTCGCACCATTAGGAATCGGAATGGCTGGCATCCATCATACTGAAGACAATGACTGGGAGGTGGCTCTCGTCCACGATTTCCGAGAAGTGTTCAACGAAAGCCTAGGCAAGTACAAAGGGTCCCCTATTTCATTTAATCTTCACCCTGACATAGCACCCATTCATCTAAAGCCACGCCAAGTTCCCTTTACTCTTAAATCCAAAATTGACGAGCAACTGGACAAATTAATTGCACAAGGCGAGTTAGAACCTATTGACCACGCCCGATGGGAGACACCAATTGTCACCCCCATAAAACCTGACGGGTCCATAAGAATCTGCGGTGACTACAAGGCCACCCTCAATCACGCACTACAGCAGAGCGCCTACCCAGTGCCAGTTGTTCAACATCTCCTGCATTCACTTGGGGGTGGCAAAATATTCACAAAATTAGATCTGGCCCAAGCGTATCAACAGCTACCAGTTGATCCCGAGACTGCAGAAGCCCAAACTATAGTCACACATCGTGGTGCATTCAAATGCAACAGGCTCCAGTTTGGTGTAAGCGTAACCCCAGGCATCTTTCAAAGCCTGATGGAGAGACTATTACAAGG